CAGCTCTACGCCTGCTGCTGCTGCTGCAGCCCTGGCAAACAAATTCAAATAAATGGCGCTGCTGGCTCGGCTGGCTGGCCAAAAGCCTTTCGGCACTCTTAATTTATTGTGATTTGCTTTCGGCTGATTGCTGGCCAGCCATATGCATATGTATGCATGTATGTATGAATGTTGTACATGCTGCTGCCCAGCGACAATCAGAGGCTTTCTAGGCCACCCACGTTGCGCGAGAATATGGGTGGGTGCAGGGAGTGCAAAGCTTAAATGTCATTCAATGTTAGACTCAGCATACTTCGCTCTCTGCTTCTTCACAAATTGCAGCGTATTTGACAGAATTCTATTTATTTTAGTCACTTTAATGTTAAAATCTACTGTGCAAGAGAGTAGAATTAAATAAAATGTGAATGCAGGCTAATTTTACCATATTCCACTTAAATATTATGATATGGATTTATATATATGTAAAGGTAGTAAATTAAAGTTAATGGTTATTGGGGGACGAAATAAAAAGTAGGAAAATCCCGTGAAGAAATAAACCAACTTATAATTACGTTGCTAGGTCGAATCATTTATGTAGGGATGAAGTGATTCCTGACTAGATAAATGTGCGATAGTTGCGATATTTGCGATAGTCTGTTGTCCACTATTTCAGTATTGGCTCGATAATGAAGATTCACTGTAGAGTAATGCCAAGGCAGGCAAATCTGAAGCTATTTGATATTGCACCTGGTTTTATCAGCCCTCACTAATGCAACGTAGAACATTAATCCTTCCTGATGAACGAGTGATAAGCAATGATGGTTCGCATTATTTTCTTTTTTTGTTTAACTGTGACTTTAGACCTTGAGTTTCAAAATATATAAATAATTTCTGACAATAGTTGGGGGAAATTAAATTAAAGGTATTACATATAAATTCTGCAATGCCAAGCCCAAAGTAATAAAATCAGTCAAAAATAGAGTAGAGCCTTTATAATTTCAACATTTTCAACTTAGTCTTGGTTGACATTTTATTAACTTCGCCCGCTTCTTATCGCATGGCCTGGATAGACGTAAAATATCGGCAGCGCTAATTCAAATACTATTAGCATAGGTTAGAAATTCAATTCAATAATTATTTTTTAGCGACTTTTTCCAAGCTACAGTAATTGGATTGAAATTAAAATTTACTTAAATCGATTCATTTTCTCCAAACAGCAATCAGCATTCGTTCATGAATTTCCTGAATTAAGTGAAAACGTGAACGGGCTGCTCCCGTGAGTTAAAGGCGGAAAGAGGCGTGGCAGCAACCACTAAGTAAATATACTATATTCCACATTTCTGTCTGCCTGTAAACAGCAGAAATCCGCTCAAGCGCAGCGGGTGCATAAAATATGGGAAAAGAGGAGCGCTGACTTTTCTTCGAGAGACTGTGCTGTTGGTAATGTGCTCACGCACCTAAATAGAACAATTCAGGATATCTGCTAGTCAGTCACTGCCCACCAATCTACAATAGTTAAGTAGCACATTCGAATATCTTTATTAATAAAATACAACTAAAAGTAAATTAAGTAAATTGCTCTATAAGCTGCTATCCGCCTCTTCGTCAAATCGGCTTTTAATTGTTTAATTGCAGTCAGTGGAGGGTATTTCGTAGTCGTACAGAGACCACTTCAGCACTTAAGCCACAGTCTAAGTTGACATTTTGTTAATTACGGTTTCTTCTCGCTGCACAGCCGAACTGGCTGTGGGCCATGGGGCGTATGCGCACTATTTGGGGGGTCGATGCAGAAAGCGTTGCATACTTTTGTGCGCGCATTTAAATATGTATTACTCTCGCACACACACACACACAGAGAGAGAGTGTTGCAGTTACTGCCCGTTGCACGTTGTGCAAATGCAAGTATTTACTATTTATTTACAACTTACATAAGTACGTGCTGGCTGCCCTTTAGCCGTCTCCTGCTCCGGCGCTCGGGCCCGGCGCATTTTATGCGCTAAAAGTCGCACACACAAAAATGCAAAAGTATAAACATTCTTGCGCTGGCAGCTGTAAAAGTTTTCGGTAAACGCATTTCAAACACTCGCTGAGATAGTTATTACAATTGTACACAAAAGTAGCAGCAGCAACAACAACAATGCTCAGGCGTGGCGCTGCGGGGCGAGGCAAGTTGGAAAAACTTGCAGCATTTTCTTCAAATGAAATGCAAAGCGCACAACGCACAACGCACAGCGCAGCAGCCATCGAATGGCGACGCAGTGGAGCTTGGGCATAATATTTACAAAGCAGTTGYCTTCTTCTTCTTGCTGCTCGCCTTCCTCCTGTGCCTCTTCTTCTTGCTGGCGTGCTGCAAAATAGAAGGCATTTGCGAGTGCAGTTAGCTTTGATCGGCATATGGGCGTGACGCTGCCAGGCGGATGTAGACGAGCAAGCCGGAAGCACCGAGGACGTCGACTGCTGAGCCAAACATCCGCTGGACAATTGATGAAAGCGTTGTATGCAAAGCAGAGCAGAGCTGAACAGTGTAGTACAGTGTAGTAGAGTGCAGTGCAGAGTGGGGCATGCCATAAGTTTCGGGGCAAGTAGCTGAGCAAGAAGCATTTGCCGTGTGGAAAACTTTTGTGCAGCTGCTGACGAGGATGCAGCGAGGATGCGGCGAGGATGAACCTCGGTTCCGCTATCTATATACATATATATACAGCTGTATGTATAAGTGTATACATATTATCCAATTTTTTCGTGTTGCTACCGTAAGAGGTCCTGCGCATCGTCCTGCGATGTTTTTCGTTTCGTTTCGTTTCGCGCCAGAAGCAAAGTGCACAGTGCCAAAGTTTTGTTTACAAAGTTTTCAAATTTTTGTGGCACCCAGTTGAACTTCCTGCTGCCTGCTGCCTACTGCCTGCCGCCTGCTGCCCCCTGCCTGCCGCGCTAAGCGGCATTCACTTCCGGCTGTTGATGATGTCGCACTCCTCCACTCCACTCCACTGCCGACTCCCCTCAGCCGTCTGCTGCCATTGATAATCTAACAATATTCGCGGCTCTCGCAATGGAGTGCACCTTTTAAATGGCTCGCTGGCGCCGTCAGCTCTGTCAGGGCAGCTCTGCGACAGCAATAATCCATCATTAGCGTTGCATGCCGCAATTATGTGAGCTGGCTCTATTAGATTTGCCTGCCTGCTAAATGATGCAGAAAATGCAGCACTCGAGCTGCTTCAACTTGCGACTGTGGCACTTACTTGTGCGTCTATTTGCCAACAGCTCCTGCGGCTCCTGCTGCTTGTCATGGCGTGTAAAATTATGTCAACGCTTGTCAACTTTTATGCGCAGCAAGAAGTTTAGCCAAGTGCCACGCCCACCTTCGAGCCCATGCGCTAAAGTGCCTTTGAGTGTACATTGAGCGAATGAATGAAAGTTTCTTTTGCCGCGCGTGTTTGCTTACCGTTTGTGCGTTCTGTGTGCGTGTGCGTGTGCGTGAGTGTATGTGTGCCATTTGTTATTGACTGAGCATGAGGTGCGCCGCTGCAATGGCTCTGCCAGTTGCGCCAAGTGAGTGCAAACTTTTTAAATTTAAATGCGGAATTTACGGTTAGACGGATACGCACACTCGGGCGGCGCACTGGAGCTGCAACTTTAAGACAGCAACTTTGCGCTGCCCTTCAAGTTCAGCCACGCCCCCGCAGTCGGGCGCGCATTAGCGTGCCACAGCGCGCTTTCTTATTAAAACTTATGCTCACTTTTTTCCAAATTGTCCCGGCTAATTAGCTTTCTTAGCAGTCGGTTCTGCCCCAATTTTCCAGGTTTTTTTTCTACTTTTTCTGTTCTTTTTGCTTGTTCTGCGCTCGCTTAATTTGCAGAGCTGCCAACTCCTTCCCGCTTGCCCCCGGCCTGAATTAAGCAAGTTTTACTCGCCACTTTATGCTGCCACAAAGCGACAAAGCAGCAGCCGCGCCGTTGCATGAATTTTGGCCTGGCCTCGCCTTGGAATTATCTCATCTTATATATTCTTGTATCTGAATAGTTAGGAAGTACACAAATAGTAACTGTATATCTCTATACACATATATATCGTTTGTACTCTATGTTTCTGTAACTGAATGCAACTAAGTAGAGCTAAAAAAATATATAGAAATTCAATTATTATTTTCTATTATTATTTAGAAACATTTTTTTTTTAATTTACTGAATGTAATAAATTTTGTAACTATAATTTCTCAATTCTCTTTTCTTTTATTGTTAACTGCTTAAACACACACTTTTTATTTGTTTTAAGAATATTATTTTATTTTATTTTAATACACATCATTTTGAATGTTTGCTTACAAATTACATTATTTCATTTATAAAGATTATATTTCTTGCAGTATTATTCTACTAATAAAAACATTATTAAACTGCACTTATTTCATTTGTTTTAATTTGAGTAGCTTTTACATTTTTTCAAGCACTATCCGATCTGATCTGATTGATAAGTTGTACACATATAGATCGGTATATTTCTATGCTAATGACACCAGCTCTGGCAAGCTGAGAAGCAGGCACGTTTAACCCCATAACTGACGCACCACGTTGTTAAGCAGAAGTATACACACACACACACACACAGAGACACACACATATTTGAACAGAACACACTCACAAAACACACACACATATAAGCAATATATAAATATATATCTCATACACAACTTATATGATAAGTGTCTACTCTTTTCCTTTTTCGTCTCTTTTACGCTCTGAAATTTCATTTTCCGATAACAACCACAACAAATGCGCCCAACAACAACAACAACAACAAAACCACCAAACACGCACACCAACAACAACTGCTAACCATGACACTGTAACGACTCCATCGACAACAATTATTATGTTTTAACAACCAACCACCAACCACCTGCAACAACACCAACACTTGCAACACCACCACCACCACAACCACCAACAACACGCCCAATACCACCAAACACCACAATCAGAGCGTGCCAGTACTGCGCACCTTTGGCGGGCATCACATCGCGTAGCGGGAACTTAACGTGGCCAGCACCACCAACATCAGCAATACAGCAACAGCAACAGCAACGGCAACGGCAACGGCAACTGCAACGGCAGCGACAACAGCAACCACTACTTGCTCATCGTCAGCAACCACCATAACCACGCCCACAGGCACACCACCATTGCCCCCGCTGCCCAACACATTTATAGCGATCAAAACGAAGAGCGACATCGGCAACAGCAGCAACAACAGTAACAGCAACTGCAACAGCAACAGCAACAGCCTCGCCCTGCACAGCGGCAACAGCAGCTTCAAGTCGAGCGGCAGCAACACAAACAGACGATCGCCCAACGCACAGCAGCAGCCGCCGCCGTTGCCCATGAAAAACGGCAGCAAGCAGAGCCAGCAGCAACACGACTCCCAGTACCAACATCTCAGCTACAACATGACACACCTGCAGCACCTGAATGCGCGCACCAACAACACGCTCGACCGCAAACACGGCCACGGCCACGGCGAGGCCAGCGCTGGCGGTGACTACTGCACGCAAATCAATCCGCACTATCTGCAGACCTTCGACAGCCTGGATCGGGATCACTACAGCGTGACCAATCTGCATGCGCATGGGCATCCGCATCGCAGCCAGTCGAAGTCGCAGATCTACAGCTATGGCAGCAGCGGCACCGCCAGCGACACATCCAACCAGCAGCAGCAGCTGCAGCACCCGCACTACCACAGCAGCAGCAACATTGCACACATTGAGCACCACTACCAGCAACACACTCACTCACACCAACAGCAGCMACAGCAGCAGCAGCAGCCACTGCCACACCACCACCAACACCACAGTCTGAAGCACACGAAACACAGCAAGGGCCACAAGAACAAGCACAGCTCGAAAAACAGCAAGTCTCAGGATGATTTTAAGGCCATGCACAAGCAGCAGCAGCAGCAGCAGCAGCAAAAGTGCGGCAAGCAGCAGCAGCAGCAGCAACAGCAGCAGCTGTCAAGCAAACGCAATTGCAACAACCAGCAACCACAACAGCAGCATTATTCCAGCTCCAGTGATAGTTTACCATTTGATAATAACTATTATTAAAACTGCACACTGCACACACACACACACGCAGGCACACGTACTAAATCACTCACACAGTCACACATTGCTGTCCCAGTTGTAAAGTGTTGTTGCCCACAGCGCACATTCGAAGCCAACACACGCACGCACACACACACATGTATATGTATACATATATGGTAAAAATCACACACACACACACACACACACACTTTGAATGACACACACTTTAACACCGAGCATTGTGAATTGCCCTTGATTTGGTTATTCAGAGTCTGAAATAATGTACTACACTGCGTATACGCGACGTGCCAAACCTCCAGCATACTTCTGTGCACCGCTCATACAGACACATACACAGACAACCACACACACACATACAGACATTTGTAGGCCMTGCTGCTCTGCTAAAGGCAGCTGTTTGTGTTGTTGTTCTATTGAATTGAAAGTCGAAAGCTTAAAAAATATTTAAATGGACTTAGCATAAATTAATTACAACTTAAATATTTTATAAACTAATTTAGAGCGTAGTCGAAATACCCAAAAAGAAATCTATACGATAACGATAGTAAATGGAATGTAGGTCTTTGCAGCCAATCAAAAAACAGAAAGAAAACAAAAAAAAAAACAAGAAATCAAAGTAAGAAAAGTCATTTATTGTTATATGTGGTCAATATGTGTGTGTATATACTATATAGCTAATCGATAAGCATATTTAGTTACTTAAGCTATAATTAGTGATTAAGATTTCACCCCTCAACCTCTGCCCCTCCCCTGACCCAAGCTCACCAGCTATCCACTTCTACTTGGATCTCTCTCCCCCGCTCTCTCTCTCTCTCTCTCTCTCTCTCTCTCTCTCTCTCTCTCTCTCACTGTCTCTGTCGCTCTATCACTCTTCCTTTCTACGTCGCAGTCGTTGCTAATCAGCTGTTTATTTATTTGTTTCATTAACAATTTGCTTGAATTAACTGCCAACAACTCGTACACAACATCAACAACAACAACAACAACACATACAAACAACAACTACAACATGCAACACTGTGTCCCACCTATTTAGTCCTCCACTTTGGCCAGCGCCAGCGCCCACGATGAGCTCGGCAACCTGCTCTGGCAGCAGCAGGCGAGCGAGTTCGTCGAGCAGTACCCCTGCCCGTTGCCGCCCATACGCCACTGCCACGCCCACACGCACGGGCACCGGCCGCACAGTGTGGGCGAGCTGCTGTCGCCCGAGCAGCGCCACCAGCGCGACCTCTTCAGCGGCGACCTGGGCATCCCGGAGATCCAGACGCACGTGGGCAGCATGGTGCACACGTTCGAGACGCTGGCGCTGCAGCGGCGCCTGGCCGAGGCCGAGCAGGAGCGAGACCGCGAGCAGAGTAAGTATGAGCTGCGCGCGAGCAGCCACAGCATTAGCAACCACAAGAGCAGCAGCGATGCCAAGTACAGCCAGGTGAAGCGCAGGTCGCAGGAGCTGCGCCAGCGCCTGCAGCATATGCAGCGGCAAAAGCAGAAGCTTCAAGCACAGGCCCAGGCTCAGGCCCAGGCACAGGCACAGTCACAATCACAGCATCAAAATCAGAATCAGACTCAGACTCAGAGTCTACATTATCATCGTCATCGGCATGGCCAGTGCCCACTAACCGCACCCGCACCCGCACCCGGCAAGCTCATCAACAGCTGCAGCACCCACAGCCTGGCCAGCCAGTTGGCCACGCTGCCACGCCCAGCAGCGCCGCCCACGGGGGCACACTCCAGCGAGCAGCTGCGGCAGCCGTACGACGACTATCGCAAGAACCTGTTCGGCAGTCGGGTGAGCAGCGCGGAGGAGCTGCAGGACGAGACGTACATTGTGAACGCGGCCTTTGACGAGATATTTGCCAACTACCAGGACGATGACGAGGAGCAGGAGGCGCAGCAGAAGGCGCGGAACAACACGCTGCAGGAGACGAGTCGCAGCTGCACCAACAGCAACACGATTACGAACACGGATGACCTCTTCGATGACGAGCACATGCTGGTCAGCCTCAGCGAGCTGGACGACGATGTCTTTGCAAGTCGCGCGCAAACTGCCTCCACCACGCCCACCACGGCCGGCGCCGGTCGCACGCCGAAGCACAGCCAGAAGTACGCGGCGCCAGCGCCGCCGATGCTGCAGCAGCGCTCCAGCACTCTGACCAATCTCTTTGAGCGCTTCAAGGGCAGTAGCTCCGCAGCGGGCACCGTCAACAAGACCCACTCCGAGCAGCAGCTGCAGCCTTTGCCGGCCGGCTCGGCAGCCGCCAAGCTGCACAAATACGCCGGACAGCCGGCGCTGAACGAGGAGCCGGACTTCAATCGTGGCTCTACGTTGAGCCAGTCCTTTGTGCGCCAGCTGAAGCGGGTGTCCTACAAGCAGAAGCGCGCACCACCTGCCCCGCCGCCCAAGCCGCGCCCCAATGTGGCCCATGTGACGCCACTGCGCAACGCCCTGATCTTTCCCAAGCGCTCAAAGTCCTCCAACGAGCTGCTGCTCGACGACCTGAATGTGCAGGCGCGTAAGTATTTCCGGCGGTCCGAGCACAGCGCCGCGGTCTAAGGACCCACCAGGAACGTCTCGAAAAGCAGCTGCACCGTCTCTCACCCAATTTGCTCACCTGCTAACCACAGCCATTCTATACGCATCTGAATACCCTTTCCAAGCCAATCGAATTTTAATAAATTTTCTATTGATTCAATTTTTGGTAGAGGCGACGCTTCTATAGGCTAAGTGTACCCGCCCCCCTCTAATGACCCATGATAGCGATACCGATACCAAAAACGATAACGATAACGATAACGAGCTCGATACCGATCAAGCTACCATCTAACTGTAAGCCGGAGTCAGCGTAGTCAACCCGCCGTCGCAAGCTAACAATCGAAAGGAAAGACAGTACGGTTCTCTTAGCGTGGAACGGCTAGAACGAGCCCAAAGAGATTTGCGCCATAATTGGATTGATTCTCAATATTTCAGCACTCTTAATTGAGTAAATTACCATAATAACATTAAGTACTTACAATATTTATACTCATTATTACGTTTATGCAAAGCGAACAAGGCAAAACCAAAAGAAAACAGATTAAAGTTGTATTTGTAAGTCCTCAGCTTATACATACATACATATATATAAATATATATTTACATATGCGAATCAAAATACTATATAGCAAAGTGCAAAGCCCAGAAATCATTAACAAATTATATATTCATGTAAAAATGGAAAACTTTCAAATCAAGTAAAAGTTGTGCCCTCAAAACTTATGCATGTTATTTATGTAATTTTTTCAAAGGCAAAAATCAAATTATATATCTATATACATACATTTATATATACAAAGTTCGCATATAACATATACTAACTATATGGCAAGTAACAGGAATTTGTGTAATTACGTAATCTGTTGTATCTTGTAGGCTACACGTAACAGAAGCTATTGTAAGCCCAAAGCAAGAAGCAAAACATAACTAAACCTTTATGTGCATGCAATAAAAAACATCTAAAATTATCAACTTGTGTTTGTTACTGGGGAACAAGAACAAGATAATCCGGCTTGTAGAGCACTTATCCATTCCATTCGTGCATTGCACTTTTAAGAGGGATTTAAAGGTAAGTAGGAAAACTGGACAACAGTTAGTCGTTTCATATACAAAAATCTAGCGTGATGAGACTTGAGTTAAGTACACTTTAAGGTATCGCCGGCAAACAGCAATGAAATTCTTGTATATACAGAGCGAGAGTCTAATATGTTAGAAAATGTATGCATATCTGCACAAAGCTTAAAGAAGTCAATTTCAGAACTTTGAAAAACTCGATTTTAAATCATAGCAAGCGAGAAAATAATCTGGTCAGAGGAGATTTGACTGTGGGTCAATAAACGAAAGCTGACCGAATGTGACTTGTTGACAGTTCGATTCACAATGGGCAAAAGATTTTTTAGGCTCCACATCTCAAGAGATGGCAACAAACAGGACAGGCATCCCGCCCCAGTACTACGAGAAGACTTACAAAAGACCGAGGATTGACCTAAAAATGAATCAATAGTAAACTTTATCTGAACCTTACATATTTTTCATCCTCTAACTATGTATGCTCTAGTTAATCTATAGCTCTCACAACGGCATATATACATATGTATATATTTTCATTTATGTTTAGATTAGATTAAAAGTAAATAGTTGTAATTTCATAAAATAATAAAAAGAGAACCTTGCTCTCCAAAACAACACAGAGACAATTATTCACGCGGTTCGCGTCTGGCGAATTTAGATAGTGCCCAAGCATGGTTTTACATATAAATGTATTTTTGGTAACGAACAACATAACAGCCAATAATTGGTTATTAATAAATAATCATATCATCTCTAATGTTTGACTTTTATGTCAAGCTACACGAAAACTCTGAATATCTCAAAACAAATGAATATTGTATTAAATAAAAGTACATTAATCTTACCATACGGCCAATGTATCCAAAATATTTAATATTAACTTAAAAACTAATATTGATTGACGACTAAGTATCATTGATTGCTCTTAGGTTAACAAATCTTTCAGCTTAAACCTAGTTAATTGCAATGTATTTGCCCAATAACTTGAGCTCAATTGATCATTCTGGTATATGTAATCTACGAGCTAGGAACGGAGCTTTACAGAGGCTGCTGTAGCCGCAGACTGGCAGGATTTGAGTTGATGCCTCTTCAGCTGAATGAGGCGACTGAAGGTCTTCTGGCAGATGCTGCAGCTGTGGCGCCGCTCGCCCGAATGGATGCGCTCGTGAGTGCGCAGCACACTCAACTGGGCAAAGCTGCGATCGCAGTGAGAGCAGGCATATGGGCGCTCGCCCGTGTGAGTGCGCTTGTGCAGCTCAAGCAGATAGACGCGGGAAAAGGTGCGCTGGCAGACGGTGCAGGTGTGTGGTCGCTCCTGCGTATGCAATGAGGCAATGTGCCGGCGCAGATTGCTGGACTCCACGAAGCCTTTGCCGCAGTACTCGCACTCGTATTCCAGGAGCTTCAGATGCCGCTTTTGGTGGATTACAAGTCCGCCGTTTGTTTTGAAAGTCTTCGGGCAAGCGTCGCAGGCAAAGGGTCGCTCTCCATTGTGAAGGCGCATGTGAATGATAAGGCTGGATGCAGACTGCATGCACTTGCCGCAGTGCGTGCAACGATGCCGCGAACGCATATCAGGGGCAGGTGCCTCGGATCCACTGCAGCTGTGCTTCTCCAAATTGATATGCTGTGTAAAGCCATGGTCACATCTAGTGCAGCTGAATATCTCTGCAGCGGGATGCACTTTGCCGAGGTGCCGCTGCAACGTGGCCGCCTGATGAAAGCTTGCGCCGCAGTCATCGCAGCTGAAGTTGGTATATGATGGTTTCTCTAGTCGCTTCTCTTTATCTGATGTATCCACAGACAGCACTGCTTCTTCTGTTGGCTCCTCCGTCTCGCATTCTTCGTAGAACTCAACATTCTCACTGGGATCGAATTCAATTATATCAACTGCACTTATGGTCTGCTCTTCATCTTCATCTACGACCAGGTCCTCGGCTCCCAGCACGTTTATAGCCATTGCTGCCTCCTCATCCTGCAACCGCTCTGCAGTTCTTTTCCGCAGCTCTTCCTCCGTTGCTGCGCATTTGTCGCGAAACTTGGCAGAGATGAGCAGCTCCTTTGTACACTCCTGGCACAAATACTTTGGATATGCATCCCACTTATCCACCTGAAATAAACAGATCCTCTATAAAATAATCTATTTTAGGCAAATATTTTGTATAATCACTTTAATTTCGCCACAGCGTTCGAGCAATGTGCATAAGTCTGTCTGCTGCTCCTCCACATGCTCGTAGATGTCCACCAATAGCTCGTCTTGCTTTAGGCAAGCGCGACACAGCAATTCACTTAGCTCTGCGGGCATCTCTTCATTATTATTTATCAATTTTATTGGAAATTCAAATTTACTGCATTTATCTGTACATGCGGGAGTTGGTTAAACATATTCGGGCATTTTTAGGGCATTTTATATATCAGCTGTTATTGCCTCTGTTATCGATACTAGAGATGTGAGTGAAGAGCGGCGGGTATTTAAAAAATTCGGATTCGATAGTTTTCATACAAGCGATATTTTGACTTAGATAAATTATTTAATTTAATAAATAAAAATAATAAAATAAGTATAAAAACAAAATTATTTTTTTGCTATAAGCATTAAAAATAAATGAAATATTGCAAATTAAGCAGTGAACAATTTATTATAGCCATTACATAGGTATATATAATATACATGTATTACAATATCATTGCAATTATTCAAGCTCATCAAAGTAACCAAAATGCAAATAGCGTTTCAGAATACTCCTAACATCCTCTAGATAGTCATCATTATAATATAGACTTAACCTAAGTTTTCGATCCATAACTATTTCAGATATCTCAAGCTTTCCCTTTTTCATTGCATGCATCACAGGCAAAAATGTTGCCAACAAAAAGAATTCTATAAAAAGTGATGGAAAAATTTAGAAATATTAAAAATAAAATGTTGTTAGAATGGTGCACTCACCAAAATACTTATGTTGAAATATCTGATGTCGAAACTCGGCTAAGGTGGGCAGCTCCCCATTAAACTTTATTTTTTTCAAAGTCTCCGTAAACGTAGAAAAGTAGATATATATTAATTCGTCGCGTTGTGAACGCCGTTGCTCCGGCGACAGCATCTGATAGATAGAGTAAATGATATCGATGGGCATGGGGCCCACATTGCTCATTTGGAAGTCCACAAGCATGCAGTCCTCAAGTGCTCCGCCTTCCTTGTTGTACCTGAACATTAAGTTCTTGACATGAAAGTCGCCGTGGCAGAGGACATAATAAGCATTTTCTTGGGGACTTTCCCTGTGGCCCTGAAAAGTTTCCTTGCAGCGCTTCATATAGTTGGGCAGAATTTTCTCGAAGTAAGGCTTGTAGGCAGTCAGATCTGGTACCGCTTCGAGCATTTCGATGAATATGCCCATCCCACTCATAAAGAATTTATCTCCATCGATTTTGGGCAGCTCGAACAAGCTGTATTTCAATTCCTTAAGGAATTCTGGTTGCTCTTTGTTCAATTTATAGCTCACAGCATGCCACTTGCCCAGCTTACAGTATGCACTACGAACCTCTTCGAAGGTCGGCTCCCTATCCCGAAGGACGGTGTAGCCCTGTACCAATAGATCCTCAAATATCATCACTTGTCTTGGCTTCATGCTGTGGTAGACGCAGGGCGCATACAATTTCGTCTCATCTCCCACCTCACGGAGTATTTGTTCAAACTTGGGCAGGATCTTCGAGTACATGTTGATCTCGGTTTCGAAGATATGCGACTCACCCAACAGGTCCTTCTTGTGGCCGTCTTGTTCAGGCATGGTCTTGATGATGAGCGACTTGAAGGACTTTTCCCCCTGGGCCCTCTTATACTCCACTCCAGCTCTAAACATGACGCTGGCATAGTGATCGCCCTTGCCTGTGGCAGGTGAGATCTTAACATCAATTATCTCCACCTGTTCGTCATTTTCATAGGCGCTTAGCACGTCTCTGAAGTACTGAGAGTCCAGCCAAGAGGGCGCCTCCAGCTCATCCTGATTGTAAGATTCCGTATTCGGTGCCATTTCGCGGATAAAATCAGTTGACGTAAAACTCAGTCTAAAGATTCTAAAGCAACATAATCTAATAAGCTACACTAGCCGCGTGTGCGAACTTTTATACATCTCGTTATCAGGGAATATCTTAATAGCTGTCCCAGTTTATCTCAGTTTCATAAATCTTCTAGCTTGCACAGTCATTGCATTTACATTTATTTTCATCGTCATCAGTGAAACAAGTTTTTCGTTTAACGATACATTGATAGCAGCTTTAATTGTTGTCTTGTTTTAAATTACTTTATGGAGTTATTAATTTACTTATATTTATGTTTACTTTAAGTTTTCGTATTTATAGGCAGCTGAAGTGGTGGCAATACAATTAATAGAAAATCGGAACTTCATGAAATGTACATCAGATTTTCAGAGTACCACTTATTCGGCAACTTATGGATAGGCATTTATTAAATTGAATAAAATCTAGATTTGTTTGCCTTCTTGATGGCAGGTTCGACAATCCAGATTAAGATAACTAAGGAAGAATTTCTGCCTGGCGAGTTGTGTGGTGAATAGTTGCAAATATTACATTGCTGTGGTGAAGAAGTTTGGCAAGATAAGAACAAACTCATCATTCAGTGGGTCTTCTGTTATCAGTGATAAGAAATATTGCGTAATTATTATTGATGTGGGGTTAGATGACAGGGAATAGATAATACTGATTGTTGGCAATTGAAAATTTATTGTTCAGTTTACTTATTCAATATCATCAAAACTAAACTAAGCAATAGAACTTCCTTGTATTTCGTTTATTCATATACAGATACGTAAAGCTAGCGAAGTCATTTATTCACATTTATTTATTCAGTAACAGCATTTTTTGTTGTTTTTGTTGTTATTAGTGAGGAATATTGTCAAACGATCTCCAATGACAAAACAAAACAAGTAAGAAAGCTCTAGTCGAGACTGCTCGACTACGAGATCCCCTGAACCCTTGGAGCAATAGATATTTCAATAACTTTTCGCGTCTTTCAGCTTACACAAGAAACCCGCACACACACACGCACGTACGCACACACAGGCATACACACACGCATACAGACACACATACACACACACACGCATACACACACAAACGCATACACACACACACATACACACACACATACACAAACACATACACACACATACACAAACATTTACATACATATACACACACAAGCATAAACACGCATGGGCGGCAGTGAGCGCTTACTATGAGAACTTAATTGTTTAATAACTTTTTTTGTGGACGTACGATCTTCATGAAACTTTTAGATTATGATTATAACATGGATATGCATGTAATTGCCAAAGCACAAGTCTCTAGTATTTGAAATACGCTTTTTACAAAAGTGAGGGTGAGGGGGTGAATTTAAGGGTGGGGGGTAAATTTTAACAAAAACCGAAATTGTATAAATTGCATATAAGCATACATTAAAAATTTGGAGACTCTAGCAATAAAGGTGTAGAAGATATAATTTTATAACTGGTTTTCGATAAGGTTTTTTATCGATAAAAAAAGATCGGGATGAGTTATCGANACGGACAGACGGACAGACGGACAGACGGACAGACAGACGGACAGGGCCAAATCAACTCAGCTCGTCATCCTGATCAGGAATATATATACTTTGTGGGGTCTGCCACGCCTCCTTCTCCCTGTTACATACATTTCAACAAAACCATTATACCCTGATTTCCCATTGAAAATGGGTTCAGGGTATAAAAATGTTGCCATGGAAAATTATTTTTCTTTCTGCAGGTCAAAATATCCCAAATGCAGCATTCGAGGCAAAAGATATTCCAGTTCTTGTTTGTAATCCTTATCCTGATACAACTGCTTGAGTAGACTTTTATCCTGTAGCAGTTTGCCAGGATCGTCGCCCCTACGCATGCTATAAGCTCCGGGCAAAAATATGGTGAACAACATTATATCTATTAAAGAATGCAACAAATTTTATCATATGCTGTTGAGCTATGTCCTTACATTATCACAGTCGACTTACCGCTGTACCTCCTATCGAAAATCTGTTTTCGAAACTCTGTTAACCTGGGCATCTCTCCTTGATATCCGATTTTTGACAAAGTCCTGACGAAGGTATCGAAGTAGTAGTAGAGCAGAGCATCGCAGCTATCCTTTCGGTCATTGGGACTCAACAGCATATATTTGGCGTAGTGCAAGTCGTTGGCTATGGATCCAATGTAGGACAGCTGGAAGTCGAGAAGCATGCAGTCGCTGTCCTTGTTGAACATCATGTTTCGGATATGAAAGTCGCCGTGGCATAGCACATAATACGCGTTGGCCTGTCGATTCTCGCGATACTCCCGAATCACGTCTTGCCAGCGGAGAAGAAGGTTTTCTCGCATGGGCTCAAAGTATTTGCGATACTCTTTCAGATTTTCCTCCTGACTGATCATGTCTATGAAATTAGGCAAGGCGTCCTTCATAAAGTCCTGCTCCAAAAAGTTTGGTATGGTCGTTAAATCAAACTGCAGCTCATCAAATATTTCGGGCTGATCCTTCAATAGCTTGAAGCTAACCGCCTGCCATTTGGCAAGTTTTCCGAGCACCGATCGAAGCTCGTCTGTGTTGGCAAATCTGTTCCGGATTACGTAGTAGCCCTGGGGCAACAGGTCCTCAAAAATCATCACCTGCTTCGGGTGCAAGGTGTGATAGACGCAGGTCGCACAAAATTTAATCTCCTCCCCCGCCTCACGAAGAATTGCCCTGAACTTGGGCAGCACTTGAGTGAACATCGCAATCTCCGTTTGGAATATCTTCGAGTCGGCCAGAAACTCCTTCTTGTGTCCCTCGGCCTCAGGCATTGTCTTAATAATCAACGACTTGGAAAACTTTCTCTTTTGTATCGAATACTCAACATGGACCCGGAACATGACACTCGCATAGTGATCTCCTCTAGCACTCGCCGGGGATATCTCTGAATCGGTCACTATTAGACTGGGCTCCTTAAAGTGCTTCACTAGCGCATCCCAGAGGAATTGCTCGTCTAGCCAGGCGGGTGCTTCCAGCTCATCCGCATTGTAGTTTATATTATCGGACATAATTAATGGATCAATAATGGTCAAACACTGTGGTCAGTCGCGTAGCTGTCTATTGACTAATGGAGAATCGAGTACTTTTCCCCACTTATATTATTGTTGCTATCATGAGCTTTCGAAGCTCCTTTAATTTAAGGTATATATATATATACAT